AGACATAATCAGCTCTGAAGAGTATTTATTGAAATTATAAATATCCCACCAAGAAGGATCCAAATATCCTCATATATATCAGAATGTTTATATTTGCATCAGTCTATATAATATTTGGTAAAAATGAATGTAAAATATCTTGCAACAGTGCAAGTCCTAAATTGTCAAACATTCTAACGCCTATCAGAATTTTCAAGTACCACCTCATGGATTATGTTACAATTCAACAAAGTGATTCACATTGCTTTCACTATGCTGCAACCCGTCTGTCTTTACCTTAGCCAAGTTATGGCAGTCATACTTCCATACACTTACAGCACAGAATTCTACTTCAGTACAATGCCTGAACTGTCCACTATGGCTTCTCAGAGTACTGAGGAATTAGCTGCCAAGAAATTTCTAATTGTACCAATTAGAAAAATGCCTCAACATCTCCCCACAAACCCCCAAAGCTGCAGCAGTTCCTATCTAATTTACACTTACAATTACCTCTGCAATCAGACAGCGACTTACATATCTTACACAAACATTCCAAGTACCATGTTTAATTTGATGTTTTCATGGCAATGTCTATAAGGAGTATGGGTTTCTGAGTTGTAACAATGTGTAGTTTGGAGATGGCCCAATGTTTAGGAAGAATATGTCACCACCAAAAGCTCAGTCTGTCTCCGAACTAGGCGCTGCTACAACTCAGAATGCTGTACTCTTCATTCCAAGTACCGGCCCCCGACTCCTCACTGTCACCATGCAATTCAGAAGTATCAACAAACGTGGAACATGCAACTCTCAGTTCTCAATCAAGGGTTGCTATCTTACACTTAACTCCCATGTCAAATCAAAACCAGCTGTTACCTACTCATGACTGTGTATTATCTGTACGTGCAATTAAAATGTACTCTCTCTAAGCAAACAAGTCTTTGGCAGTAACCATGATGATTTAAGTCTTCTGGGATGTGACACCATGAAGCGTGGTAGAATGTTACCAACATTTCTGATGAATATAAAGCCCCCACCTTCAGGGTCTTATCACTTCACAGGTTCCTCCGAAGTGGTGATAACATTCTACCAGTGTACACTGCCTCACATCTAAGAAGATGACAGTCTTTTGAGTTATGTGGTGTTTAGAAAAGCCCACTGTCAATTAGTTCAAACTGCCACATGCTGATACTGTATGCAGATATGAGAGCCATAGTTTACAGGACGAGTTTCAGGAAAGAGACATCATTGGCTGTACTTTATTTCATAAAAACTAGCAAAAGAGAGGTAAGGTGCAAGCTTACAGAATCCATTTTACACATCAACAAAAACTTTACCAAATGCTTGTAACTTCTAATACTATGCTTCTCATATGCTTTATACAGGTTTCATTAGGGAACTCCCATATCACACTCCATCAAAATGTGTGTTGCCTGCAAGAACTGCTACATACAACGGAAATAGAGACACAGTTCTGTCACAAAAAAAATGCTAAATATGAATAAAAAAAAAGAAAGAAAAAGATCCAACCAGCATTCTGCATTATAAACTCATGAATACATTCCATAAATGAACAATTCCTGTTACATATTGATTATTGAATTTATAGCACTGATAAACTTAATCATCTGAAGATGGAAATGAGATCAACAGGGACTACCAAATATCAAAATAATATCTTGTATATGATGCACTGATGGATGTAAATCTTGCTATATATATAGTGCTTCACACGTATGTGACACCTCAACTAGTCACAATTACATAGGTAAGTCAATAAGTAAGTTACAAATGGATATAGAACTTAAACAAATAAAGAGTACTGATTTTAGAAATGCTTTTATTTCCAACATAATCTCCATGTACACTGAGACACTTGTCCGATCATTTCACTAGTCCCTTAAAACCAGCAGCGTAAAATTCTTTGGGCTGCTGTTCGAACCAGGCGGTGACTTCCCTTTCTACAGCTTCACTGTCAGGAAACTGTTCAGCCTAAAGATGATGTTTAAGAGGGCCGAACAAATGGAAGTCACTTGGAGCAAGACTCATAGCCTGTGACAATTGAGGTTAGCATATTGTGTCCTTCATCATGGCCGCGATTGAGAGGCTGTAATGCCAGACCCATTCTTTGCATTTTGTATTGTGGGGTCAGTATGTGTGGCACCCATCCTGCACAGACTTTGTGAAAACCTAACCTGTCATGACTTCCATTTGTTCGGCCCTCTTAAACATCATCTTCCGGCTATATGGAACCATGGACATTTAAAGGATAGCTACAATTTACTTCCCTATAGAGGACCATTTAGAAATAGCATCAAATTGTTCCACAGTCTCACGTGAAGCACGTCCTTCTATAAAACTTTCTGAAAGTTACTGATTACATGTTTCGAACTATAAAGTCATCATCAGGTGTTTTAAAATTATAAATGAAGAAACTGCTGTGCTTCCATATTGTGGTTGTTGGTCATTACTGTGTGGTCCCTTCTATGAGCATGTACTCATATATACGAAGTGGCGGGTTGCTCTGCCTGCTGTGTTACACAGCATAACACAACAGGCAGAACAACCCGCCACTTTGTATATACATGTGTAGAGAAGGGACCACACAGTAAGTACCAGCAACCACAATATGGAAGCACAGTAGTTTCTTCATTTATAATTTACAAATTTAAAACACCTAATGATGACCCTATAGTTCGAAACATGTAGTGAATAACTTTAGTAAGTTATATAGAAGGATGTCCTGCATGTGAGACTGTGAAACCATCTGCTACTAAATGAAGTGGAGCAGGGTGCTACAATATAGTACTACTTGTAGCTACAAATAACAGCTCATGACCAGGTCTGGACCAATACTCACTCCTTCCTGTTCATTCTTCGTCATTTGTTTCTCTACTTTATTTCTGCCAGGTCCCGTCTGTCTTTACCTTAGCCAAGTGATGGCAGTCATACTTCCATACACTTACATTACAGAATTCTACTTCAGTACAATGCCTGAACTGTCCACTTTGGCTTGTCAGAATATTGAGGAATTAGCTGCCAAGAAATTTCTAACTGTACCAATTAGAAAAATGCCTTAAAATCTCCCCACCAACCCCCAAAGCTGCAGCAGTTCCTATCCAATTTACACTTACAATTACCTCTGCAATCAGGCCGCAACTTACGTTTCTTACACAAATATTGTAAGTATGATGGGTCTCATTTGTCTTGTTGGCAGTATGTGACGCTGCAAAATTTCAAGTGGGAAGTCCTCGCGCATCCTCTGTATAGCCCCGACTTTGCTCCAAGTGACTTCCATTTGTTCGGCCCTCTTAAACATCATCTTTCAGCTTAAGTCACAGCCTGTCTGATGGCAGCCCAAAGAAATTTTTGCTGCTGGTTTTCAGGGGCTTGTGAAACGATGGGACAAGTGCCTTAATGTACAGCGAGATCATGTTGAGAAATAAAATCATTTTTCAAATTAGTACTCTTATTTGTTTAAGTTCTTGTGTTTTATAATTGTAGTTATATATTCATTTGTAACGTACTTATTGGCTTACCCTCGTACATCACAACCAGTTATCATCTCTGCCAACTGAACATTAATTTAGCTCAGCATGCTTCTTACCAGTACATAATGCTTCAAATGTAGGAAGGCAGAGATGACACAATTAGAACTACTGTCAAGTGCAATTCTCTACCATTTCAAGCAAGCAGCAAGCGCACACAAGCTTCCCTGGGGCAGGTTTCCCCTGCCAATCCTCATTCCATCAAATTCTCCATAAGCATGATCACCGGTACAGGTACAAATGACATATGGAAGCCGACATGCCGAGGGGACCTAATATGGATTCCACTGCACACTATACGAACTCAGCCAATGTACCGTGACTGACTTGTCCTATATCATGTAACAATGATCTATAGAGACAAAATAAATAAATAAAACAAATAAATAAATATGAATATCCTGCTATCAACTTCCCACACTTTCATCACTTCAATAGCTTTCCACTGTTGCAAAAGTATACTTAAACCAATTTGAGATTTTCATGGCAGTGACAATGAAGAATGCTGTCTTCTGGGATGTAGCGCAGTATATATATCCTGCGTTTTGGAGGTATGTATCACGTCCATCTTCAGAGTAGATACAAAGTCAGATGATATCATGCATGTGTGTTATCCTCCTACATGCAAACATAATAAAGCAAGAGAGGCAGTTTTTTGGATAAATAAGTAGCAGTAACATGGTCACACACACCAAACTAACATTTCTGCCTATAATACTGTATTAGTATCTTCCTGTTATGTTTCAGCCTTTACATGTAGAGATTTTCACTTCAGTCTTGACCTGCATAGATTTTCACTTGTCTTGACATGACCAGATTTTCACTTGTCTTGTCATGACCAGATTTTCACTTCAGTCTTGACATGCCCAAACTTTCACTTCAGTCTTGACATCCCCAGATTTTCACTTCGGTCTTTACATGCACAGATTTTCACTTCAGTCTTGACATCCCCAGATTTTCACTTCAGTCTTGACATGCCCAAATTCTCACTTCAGTCTTGACATGCCCAGATTTTCACTTCAGTCCTGACATCCCCAGATTTTCCCTTCAGTCTTGACATCCCCAGATTTTCACTTCAGTCTTGACATGCACAGATCTTCACTTCAGTCTTGACATGACCAGATTTTTGTGGCATAACCTCAAGAGAAAAGACTATCTGAAAGAGCCAAGCATGGATGATAGGGCAGCAGAACGGATGTCAGAGAAATGCTGTAACTTGCTTGCTACAACTGCACAGCAACAGGTCCTTGCTCTTATGGCAGACGAGTCACTTGAGGTCTCGTGCTGGTGAGTCACAGGCCTGAAACAATNACTCATGGCAAATTGCAGCCGCGGCGCGCACTTGATTGTACGCACTGTATTTTCTGGTATTCTCTGGTTCAGTTTTTCCCTCATACTAAATAAATTTTCTTCATAGATATCTCCATATCAGAACACTGTAAAAATACATAAAAGCAAAAACTTTAGTTCCTTAAAAACGGGAAATTAATTTCCATTTCGTTACAAATGCAAGTCATGCAATACTGAACTATTTATATATAAAAATTTAATGAGAAAACTCATGCTTATTTTTCATTTCCACATTCCTGTCCAACCAAAATTCCAAGTCAATAATTAAATAATGCTTTGCTCTACATTTCAGTTACTACAGACAAAACACGATGATATCCATAGCCACATTTGTAATTTTCACTATGTCACAAACTCTGATGTCAGTACAACTTTTATAAAATGCAGTTATCTACATCAGACTACTAGCAGAAACCACATATTGGTTCTAGAAGAACTGGAAACAAAATGGAACAAAAATATTCAAGCACAATAACAAATGTCAAGAGCAATCAGCCCATAAAATGAAAATGCTAATCTTCCCCAGAACTTGAGACATGTATCAGTTCCATCATTAAAAAAAAGTGTTAACATTCCACTCAACAATAAATAAAACATGGCTACAAACCACTCAAAAAACTGTGCAAGCCATGGAGAAATGATGGGAGTCAATATAAACTTTCATATTGGAAAATTATTTGCAAAGAAAGCAATTCAAACAGTGAAACTTCATTGCTTACAGTTCACTATGGCCAAGCTCATACCAATACAGGAAAGTGTAAATTTGTATCTACTCTCCTAAAACACCAAATTTCATGAGCCAAATACAAACTCGTCTATGCCGTGAAGTTTTGTTTCATAAGTACCTGTCATATAATTAATCTTTCCTTCTAACATATAACGAATTATTTAAACCTGCATATCTTCTCTAAAAAGTCCTTCCCTCTATCTCCAACATATGATCCCATAATGGCATACTTCAATTCTTACTTTCTAACACGAATTTTAGGAGTACTTATTATTTTGCATATAAAATCAGCATTTATAACTTTGTCATCACATGATATATCTGTTTCGTTCCACAGCATACTGTGAGTCTGTTAATTCTTTCGGTCACAGTGACGGGCTTACGTTTACAACATTTACAACCACCTAGGGGCTGTAGCACAGACACGTTAAATCATACCCCAATTGCAGCATTGCAGTTGCACTTCTATTAACAGTCTATATGATTCAAAGTTATATATTTACCAAGGTGTACAATGAACAATATTTGTGAAGTACCCTAGTCTCCTACATACTGAACAAATATATATCAAAACAAGTCTTCACAGCATACACAAAACAGTAAAACGCTTTCAGAAATACTTCAACAATATTTATACATTACAACCATATCACACTATTTCAACGTACATAAATATTACCGAATATTACTAATTAATTAAAAAAAAAACCTGTAATCTCCACTGAAGTTAACGAAACAGCCGCATTTCCAGCTGTGCCCACCGCCATGCTCACTTACAAAGCAAAATTAATTCCGGTAGTGCCCGTAGCGACGGTATTAGTGTCGTGAGTAATCTGGTTCTAATATCTGCTACGGGTGCTAATGACTAATGACCAGACATTTCTACCACACCACGACTGCAAAGCCGCCATAGACGACCATAGACGGCTAGTCACGTGATGGTTTGTGATGTTGCAGTGCGACGCCATTACGCCTGCGCGGTAGTCTACATACTGAATGGTTGTCTAGAAACGCTCTGGCCATTCACGTCACAGTATTTTAAATACGATTCACAATTAAAGCGCGAACTGTGAAATGCGTGAGGGAAACAAGAAGGAAGTGATTTTCCATATGTGAAGCAGAAAAGTAATGCAAATTATGCCAACTTCAGTAAAACAATAGCCATTTACACAATGTTACGTAAGTTATAAGTTTGTGAAAGGCTGCGCCACAGCTCAAGCGGTTAGTCGCTGGCTTCCCACTGCAGCGGCCCGGGTTCGATCCCGGGTCTGGTCAAGTGGGATTTGAGGTGGACAAAGTGGCGCTGGGGCAGGTTTTCTCCGAGTACTTCGATTTCTCCTGCCAATCTTCATTCCACCAATTGCTCTACAATCACCCTCACCTATCATCTGGGGCTGGTACAATAGGCCAGAAGTGGCCGCAGTACAAGGGACTTAGTCCCACCCCACTAGCAACAAAAAAAAATATAAGTTTGTGAAAGTCCCAGTCTAGATTCTACCAAGTTCAATAATTAACACAGCAACACAATGTGGGTAAAATATTCTAATGCTGTAAAAACAGAATGCATCTTTTCCGAACAGTAAACCATCAGTATGGTGACGAATAGGACTGAAATTAAATCAGAACAACAGTCTCAAAACCCATGCTTAAAATTAGGCTATTTACTGTAACTTACTGCAAAGCATTATTCTTATATGTATTTTGAATGTGTGTGCTGTCGCATGTTATGTACCAAGAAAGCAAGTAGAGGAACTACGTTCTTTCAAGGTATCATCTGATCTTTCCAATCCAGTGAAGGTTCTACTTTGCCAGTGATGTAATTGAAATCAATGACAGCGATCATGGTCCACTTGCTAGCTACTAGTCAGATGTTGGTAATTTCTCATGTATTAAGTTGGAAGGGAAGTGATTTTTTTTAAATTGAAATTGGTGAATAGTGTATATCAAATATTAATAATAAAGTTTAAAAGTACCTTTAAAATGCTATTCTTCTATGCCAGGAACACTCTAGATCAATAGTTAAAAGCCTTGAATATAAGTCTTGTAAAATTTTCTGGCTTTCTTCCCTCGGGGGAAAAAAGTCCTGGTAGTTCTCATTTGTGAAGTAGGTGAAGACCTACTATAAATGAGTCCATGTTAAGGTCACCTCTGCCACTACTAGACTATTCAGGGTAATGGAGTCCACCTCATAGGTGCAACCCACACGAGATACACACTCCATGAGCATTACCTTTCTCAGTTACATTATATATGTGGAAATTGTGCCTTGAAATTAGCTGTGATCACTTCAGTCCAGACCTTTCCAACTCACCATTCATAATTGTTAAACACTACAACCCCTGCAGCTAAGACAACAGTGATAAACTCAACATAATTCATCCATTATCAAGATAAACTGATCATGGAGCTCAAAAAGACTATAGTGTCATGTGTATGAGTCACTACAGACAGTTTGGATTGGAGATAGGATTTATTGACGACTTTCATACATGACTCATGACTACGCTTAATTATAGCACCATCACTAGTCTCCTCACTTTACAGATCACTACAGAACACACTAAGTCTTTTCAGTCTGCTGTCTTTACCACTTGTTCCCTGGCAACAGTTTCTACAGCAGAGGTTCTTCAGCTTCCTCACTCACTTCGTTGCCCACTGGCTCTCAACTGCACCAAGTCTTCTCTTCACAGACTCCCAATTCTCACTGCAGGGCTGGCAGCCATATAACACCAACCTCCTAGTTTCTGCTCCACAGGCTAACAGCTAATTTCAGGGCTGGCATCCTCATTATACAACCCCTTTGCATGGACCATGTATTAAAACACAATTTCCAACGGTTCCTCTATTGAAGAAAGCAGTCTTCTGGGATTTGGCACCGTGTATANTTCCTCTATTGTTGTAGTTCAATTGCTTGTTATGAATCTGCTGCCTAGCAACTGCTGTTTTCTTTGTTGTTTTCTGGTCATTGCCTTGTGATGGGTCTATACACATTATCTGTTCTTCACATATAATGGGACTTCACCATTTATGGCCATTTATGATCTGGATTCCTGCAAATTCTGTACATTTGCATAACAGTGACATAAATACTGAATAATGAACTGCATAATTTGCATCTAACTTATAACTTTTCCATTCAAAAATCCAGCAGAACATTCCCAATTTTTAAACTTCACCATATGAAATTACCGTATTTACGCATTTATAGGCCGCACATTTTTTGCCAAAAATTCAAGAGGAAAACTGGGGTGCGGCTTATATTCAAAATATTTAAAATCACACTTCATTTAAAAAAAAATTATATTCATAATTATTTCGGAATAATTTATACTCCTGAAATAATAATCCAAGAAAATTATTTTTTCTATAATTTGTCTGAAAATTGTGCTGCGGCCTATACATAAATACGGTAGTTGGAAATGTGTTAATCCATAGTTATGATAAGTAATCCTGAACACAAGGTTTTACTGAAACCGAGCCAAGATTCCAAAGCTCCCTCCAAAAATAACTCACCTCTTAACCCATCAAATAAACTTGTACACAGGCCCACACTTGCATATACTCGTACATAACACATTTGGAGGTTGCAAGTTTCAACTTAAGAAACCAGACCCCTCTCACTGTATTAGACTTCAGGTTCTTGCAACAGTTAACTGAAAGTGTACTATCTTCTGGGATATTTAGCTATGTAATCCAGTAGACATTTACTGACATTTCAGAGGAATATACTCCTTCCATTTTCTGGGTCAGAGTAAGTTGAGGAAGCAACACAGGATGCAGCAGTATGGACACCTCCCTTGCAGAAACTGAACTGTGGTTATACACTGAACATTCATTACTAACAATTATGGAGATGGTTCTAGTCTTTATTTTTACAGCCAAGAACTCAGATGGTACATTAACTTAACAATATACTGTACAAATATAATGACAAATGTGTCGAATTAAAACTCTCATACAAACTGTACGTTTGCGCTAATTACGAATTTAAATGTATATTCGACAGAATCTTGGAAGAAACTTTTATATTAACACTGTTATTAATCAATGTTCTCCTGCACAGAGTTCCACAAATGCAGATACAACAACTGGACACATCTCACTGTTCGACAGACTTCAGAACCTGTCTCCACTTATAATAAACTACAATTTATAGTTCCTTAATCTATGAAGTAAAACTGATAAGGAATTCTGATACTATTTTCTTCAGCTTAGCATCAGCATCTTCAGTAATCTTGCCCTCCTTTGCAATATTTGCCAGCAAATCCTTGTGAGAGGTCCTGCATAATTCAAGAAAAGTAGCATCAGAAGGCAATTAAAATAAAATACACTAAAACAAAAACAGCTTAAGCATTCAAGATAAATTTATCGGTTCATTCCAATAACATGTACCATCAGTCATATTTCCTTTAGAACTGGAAAAATTACTATTTCCAGCTTTTTTTTTTTTTGCTTCCTTTTAGCTACCAAGTAGTTTGTCTTGAACATCTCATTTCTTTCCTTTGTCTCTTTTCTGGCATTCAATGGTGACAGAGTGGTGAGGATCATGATATGGAGCTTTGTGGCCTGTTTCTGAATCCCTCTGCAAGGGAGGCTGTCATCTTAGATAACCTCATTTCTTGGAAGACAATACATCTAACAACCAAATTATTTCACATGCCCACGAGTATGAATTAGAGCAAGTGTTCAATGTGAGCACTATAATGTTCCTTTAATTTTATTGCAATGCAAAGGTTAATTATACTGTAAGTGAAAACATGCTTGTATCGTATAATATGAGACAGTGAACCACTCCTCTGAAACTTGCTGTTTTACCAACTATGAACAAGGTAATTTTGAGAACCAACCCACTGCACTCAGTCTCAAAACCTATTTAACTAAGTTTAACTTCAGTACTAATCTCCCGTCTCCTTTTTGGTCTTCCAACTGATATTTCTGAATCAGTTCCCCTCAAAATTTTAAACATATTTCTTGCTTCCTCTAACATTTCCATCACATGTCCAGCCTAGCATCACCTCAATTAACAAGACAGAAGTAATATGTGGGCTGCATAAATCAAAGTTCCTACTTATGTGACAGTCTCCATTCCCCACTTCATCATGAAAGAGCACTATCAATTGCGATCCCGCAATTTTAACCTCAATCCGAGCTAATGTACATAACAGTACAGGCACTCCATGCGTATCTGAGTACTTGTGGCTGTATGAAAACTCTCTCATATCCAACTTCATGTAATGACTGAAGTAGCCAACAAAAGACAAATCAAATCTAACCATTCTGAAACTGGTTTGTACTGCGCAGCCAGAATTCATTATACTGTGCTCACATAACGCAACTACTGGGACAGGACTGGGACTCTTTTTGTTCTTCCATTCTCATCTTACAAACTCCGCTATTCTAAACCTTGAAGTCCTATAAGATGAACAAGTCAGCAACATTCCATCACATTAGTCAGAAGACCCTTACTTGATATGCTGCAAAAACTCCTTCTCAAAAGCTGTAATCTTTGCAGGGTCCAACTTGTCTAGGTGACCTCGAACTCCACAGTAGATGACAGCCACTTGCTCCTCGATAGCCATAGGGACTGTAAAGCAACCGGAAATGGTTACATAATTTTCCATAAACACAACAGAAGACTAACAGCAGAGACTTATCAAGAACTGAACACAGGTTGGTCTGCTAGCCGCCAATCACATTACCCATTTAATATACCAAAATGGTTATGAAAGTCAAGTCAGAATATAAAAACTCATATTTCCAACTGAACACTCACCATACTGGCCCTGCTTCAGTAATTCAGTGAGGCGAACACCTCGGTTCAGCAGCTGCTGGGTGGCAGCATCTAAGTCAGAGCCAAACTGTGCAAAAGCAGCCACTTCACGGTACTGAGCCAACTCCAGTTTCATGGAACCGGCCACCTGCCATCATACAATGAATCCACAGATATCAGAAGTGTGTTACAAGTCAGGACCACCTCTGTGGTCTACTGGTCGGCATTCCGGGCTACACATCCAGAGGTCCGAGTTGCATTCCTGGCACTACCAGACTTTTTCTGAGAAAGAGTGTCTGGAATGGGGTCCATTCTGCCTCATCATGATAACTGAGGAGCTATTTCAAGGAAACAGAGTCTCCAGTCTAGAAAACCGAAATTAACAGCTGTGGGAATTCATTGCGCTGACCACATGACACCCTCTATCTGCAAGAGTTGGCATTAAACTTCACTGACAAGCGGCGGTCGCTCAGTCAGTATAGTTCACTTGTGGACTAAAATCACGGAGTTACAAGTCAGTTTTCTGACACAGTAATTGACAGCTCAATTTATAATGGCCTGCAAGTTCTAGTTAGCAACAAATTACACATATCATTTACCACAGCTGCAGAAATGACTTTATAACTAGTGACTTCTGTTCTTCATTTCCTATCAATGACTAAAGAGGGTGTGTCAAACGTAACTACTTCCCCCTGATCCCTTTTCTTTGACTTAACTGCCTGTAAAAATCACTACACAGATATACAGAAAACAGAACAGACCTGTTTCATAGCCCTGGTCTGGGCAGCTGAGCCTACTCGCGACACAGACAGACCGACGTTGATGGCCGGACGGATACCCTTGTAGAACAACTCTGTCTCCAAGAAGATCTGTCCATCTGTGATGGAAATTACATTGGTTGGAATGTATGCCGATACGTCACCAGCCTGCGTCTCAATGACCGGGAGGGCAGTAAGGGAGCCACCTCCATTGGTTTCATTCATCTTGGCTGCTCTTTCCAACAGTCGAGAATGAAGGTAGAATACATCTCCAGGGTAAGCTTCTCGTCCAGGGGGTCGACGCAGCAGCAGAGACATCTAGAAAATATGAGATTTATGTTATAAATTCAACATTGGAAAGAAAATTCATCTTCACACAGAACTAGACAAGCCAGCAAAGTGAACTGATGGAGGCTGAGAAGTGGGATGAGATTCCTGGCAGGGGCACTGCGATACTCTGTCAACACACCCAGAAGATTTAATGTGATTACCCAGCCATTTTTTAAAATATATGACACAGGCTATGTCTATAGATTATTGTGAAAGGGTTATTAAACTGATACCTATGTTGGAAATTATTTCCATTACAACATTAACACCCCCCCCCCACAAAACGGGAGCAAAGTGGGCACAGCCAAATAATAAAAACTGCCTTAAAATATGACACTGTAATACGATACTATCGACCGCTGGCTCTGCTCCATCATCAGGTCAAGTATAAAACCTACTCTGCTGAGTCCATTAGGTCAAGCTTATTAAGGCACAAAGATTAGCTCGAGCTAATGGACCCAACAGAATACGTTTCATATTTTTACCCGATGACAGAAGCACAACCAAACATGGCTTTTCTGTAACCTAAATGATGATGGAAAATGTCCAGCATATGTAACACCAGAAATGCTGCAGGGCCTTCCTCCATTCGAGAGACTAAGCAGCCACATAAGTTACCAATCCCTCTAGTGACAAGGGCTTTATTTAATACGACTTCACTTTGTGGTGTTACCTACAGCAGTGACTTACTCTTGACCTTACAGGAGGGGAAGGGATGTTCTGAAATACCATTAGTAAAATTTAGCTTAAACTTTCCGTAATCAAAGAGCATATACTTATGAGCACATTCATACTTCCAAGTGCCACCAAACGGAAACAATTTAATTGCATAAATTTAGGACTTGTCTGACATTTAAAGATAATATTACAGCTCTCAACTCTTGCTCCAATTGTCATTCTCCTATCAGCTCAGCATGGACCACTAAGAAGACACCATTCACTGTTGCACTCCAATCGTTCCCATGGGAACATGTTTGTTTGTTTGTATGTATGTATGTATGTATGTATGTATCCAGTTAAAAGCTTCGTACACTTGCTTATTATGAATCTGTTGCCTAGCAGGGGATGCTGTTTCACTGTTCTGAAGTCATTACTGAGTAATGGATCTTGACCAAACTTTTAAAAAGAATTTTGAAAATAAAATTTTCCAAGTAGTTATATGTGTACCCAGATACATAGGAAATTCCCTGCAGGACACATGATATGTCAACCCAACAGCAATCATCAATGTGAGGTAACTGTTGATCTGAATACTATCATCAAATCTAGACACCTCCACAGCAATACAGCACACTGATTAATATTCACCTGTCGATAAGCAACAGCCTGCTTTGACAAATCATCATAAATGATGAGGGCATGCTTTCCATTGTCCCGGAAGAATTCTCCCATTGCACAGCCGGAGTATGGTGCCAAATACTGCAGGGGTGCGGCATCGGATGCCGTAGCAGAAACAATGATGGTGTAGCCAATGGCACCTAAAAGTTAAGACTGATATTTAAATCCATCAACATTATCTACTGTTAAATTTACAAATAATTTCAGCGTTGTATATTTCTACATAGTCTAACCATCATAATCAAGAAGGCATTTTAGACGGAATGCAGGCAAACCTACATGCACTCTCAAAAGTCATCAACTTTGATTGCTCGATACCAAGCGAAAGTCTCTGGCACTGTTTTATAGGAGGCTTAAGGAAATGGAACAAAATAAATTCCCTAAATACAAACATGGTGCATTCCAAAATTTCACTTGCATTTGTACAGATCCTGAATTCCAATGATGTTATAAATTGTTTCCTCAATTTATGAAAGTGATTCTTGGTTTAATAATGTTTTATTATGAGTACAGGTTATGTTATTTACAAAAACAGGATCGATATAAGTGATTAACTGGAGAGTATATTGCAGGAAGAAATCATGGCCTACTTTACAGCACAATCCCAGCATGCCTGAAGGGACTGAGGAAAACCAATTAAGGCCCATGACAATCCTAGGGTTGTTATTATTTGATATTCAAGAAAAGTTCCAGTATGTTTCATAAGAGATCAAATTCAGATTTTTCACATCTTTCACATGGATAGGTTAAACATTTCATACAATAATTGGCCCATTATCTATATTTTTTATTCAATTCAAAACCACTGACCTGTATCAGTAAGCCTCTTTACGATCTGGGCCACTGTAGATCTCTTCTGGCCTATGGCAACATAGATACAGTACAGTTTCTTTTTTTCATCATCCCCGTCATTGAATCGTTTCTGGTTGATGATTGTATCAATAGCAAGAGCAGTTTTACTGAAAGATAAAAACAAACAAAACCTAATCAATTTCTCTGGGTCAGCATACTAAACCATATACCCTTAGGTATGAGCAGATTTACGACGTTTCAGTACAAAATTCTTAGGACAATATATGGACCAATGGAAGAAAAGTAAAGGCAAAGTTGTCTCTGTGCTTAACTAATTAAGCACTGCGCCATGAATGTGTATGCGAGAGTGGATGTATAGATCCACATTTTCTTGACCTTGACACTAGCTGGATGAGTGGTCAACTTCACGCCCTGACTGCTTTACCCCCGGGGAAAGAGCTCCAAGTACCCACTGGATAGGAGGTTCGGTGGACCCCAGAGCCAGTCCCAACAATGTAGAGAAATGAAAAATTTTGTCCCACTGAGACTCGAACTCTGACTCCTCCATCCTCGAGCCCATTGCCAGTCGCTATACTGACCGAGCTAAAAGTGATAACAGGAATATGAAGAAATCTAAATAATGCAAGTACTTCAACACTGGTACAATTAATGTGGACAAAGTGGTAGTAAATTCCCTGCACCATAGTGCTAGTTCATGTGAGTGTCAGCTTTGAGTGAGTTTCAGTGGCATGGTAAAAAGTTTAAGGATACAACACAGATTTTCAGTAACCATAAACAAGTTGCATGTTTAAGCTATGTTCCTTATGGAGCTAATCACAAGGTGTGCCTTTATATTCTAGTTCGTTTAATGTATAAGCCTATGTAAGACAAAGGAATATTGAAACGAAAGATACTTTGGGTACAAAAATTACTGAGACGCAACATTTTAGCTCCATACCCAGTCTGCCTGTCGCCAATGATCAGTTCTCGCTGTCCTCGCCCAATGGGCACCAACGAATCCACAGCCTTGATACCTGTTTGCATGGGCTCTCTCACAGATATTCGGGGAATGATACCAGGCGCCTTCACACCAACTCGAGCCCTAATAAAAACACATAATTACATCAATTACTTCACATACTAATTACACAAAAATTACAATTTTCTATCCACATGCATATATGTAGCATTTTCATTATAATACAGTATCACTTAACCTCTTCTTGACAACTCCAGGTGAAATCCCATCATGCCTCTCTGAGGTTTAATCTGAATATGATTTGCTTTCTGCTTTCACCCCCTATAACAGGTCTTGTTTACAGTCACTAAATTTAAGTTATACTCAAATTTGCTGAAAAAAAGTTTGACAAACTAAGGATCATAGTTGTGTTTGTTGCTGTACCTTGTCACTGACTTGAAGGGACCCTTGCCATCAATGGGGTTACCCAGAGCATCCACTACTCGTCCCAGAAGATCTGCACCCACAGGGACATCAACAATGGCTCCTGTTCGTTTGACAATGTCTCCTTCCTTGATGAGCTTGTCATTACCAAACACTACAACACCAACATTGTCTGGTTCCAAGTTCAAGGCCATACCCTTAAACATTTAAAGAATCTTACATAAGTAAAGTTTGTGGTTAAGTGTAAAGACATGACAAAAGAGAAACAACAGCTTCCATTTTTCATAATGAACATAAACGTCCTTCATGCAGAAAAATTTCTGGTGTGGCAAAACATGCTCTGGAACTTGCTACATTAAGTACACAGCTAATGTGACAAGTTATGAACTAACTTACAAACGTAATGATACTATCTTAATTACATTGATTTTTTCATAAATAAAGTGACTTATTTAATGAGTAAAAACAAAATGCCTCTAATAAACACCAATTTCTGAAAATCCTTTCAAGAAAAGTCACCAGAATCCACTGCATTATCTACATATAGCTGGGCCCCATGTAATCACTGAACCTCAAATTTTCATTTTGGAGAAGTCAACAACTTCTTTTCTTAATCTGGTAGCCAGACAAATATTTCAGCCAACCAAGAAAAGTTGATCAGTACTTTCTTGCACTTTTCTGTGGCTCTCACCTTCAATTGACATATAGGATTACTTCTGCGCTGCTGTTCTGTCTTAACATACATGGTCCACACATAACACAGTCAAATTTAATGGAGACACTATTATGAGTGGCTAAATCACACGGACCTAAACTTCCTTGCATGTGGTTCATCTCTTCCTTCGTAAGAAACAAGACTGCCTACAGTCTGAAAATTACCTGCCAGCCAAAACGCTACACCAGCCACTGGTGACCTATTTAAGTGAATCTCAAAACTTTCTGTTCAAACTATATCAGCTGGCAAAAGAGTAAGAACGCTGTACCTGATGTAACTAGGGATTTAAAATGTATCACATGCAATGTACATGTTACTTATTTAGTGGCTCATGACATACAGGTGCTTACTTTCAACCCTGAGGAAAATTCTACCATCTCGTCAGCCTGAATATTCTTCAGCCCATATACACGGGCAATACCATCACCAATGCTCAGCACACGTCCAGTTTCTTCCAAATCAGCCTGTTTGTACAGAAATATTGTTTTAATTATGGCACTTTATACTGTACAAACTTGAAAACTATCTGGAAACAACAAGCTATGAATCACTACATTAATTCGACTTCAGTACAGGGTAATATACCTTTGGTGCTGAACCCAGAATCCTTTCTTCGAGGATGGATGATATTTCAGCAGCCCTCCGGCTGCATGAAACATGCAGCTTGCGACTTGCCACTTGTGCAGCAGGCCATGTTAAATTAGCCACCTACAACACAAAATCTTTCACATAACAGTCCAAAAGTATTTAAATATCAGGAAAACACCTACTGTGCTCTACCTAAATATTATTGGACCTAGAATAATTAAATTCACAACCAACTCACATCCTTTGCTTAAAAATCTGAACCAGAACTGTATTAAAAGTCAAGGAAGTTAAAACTCCACAGTGCCGAGAAATTGAATTTAACAAACATGAAGAAGCCAAAGGCACTTACAAGATTGTTGCTAAAAGCTGAAATACGATACACATATAATACGACAGTCTTGGAACAATGGGGATTGCACAAGCCATTACAACTCTAAAAATGTCTATACAATAATTTCTGCATATAATGTCTTACTTTATGAACGTTCACATCTTCTAGATTACATTCTATTTACTATCCTAGGTAATGGTTTACATTTTGGCACTTATCCTACCCAAAGTAGCACTGCGGGTATATGAAAACGTTTCACGCATCGCATTCCTTAAACATACATATTAACATTAATGTTAAAGTTATTTATGATGAAAACCACTCATGCTTGTATTTCACACCTGTGGGGCAGCGCTGGGTAAATGCCTTGCCACAGATGTGGCCAAACGTAATGAGAGCAAAGCCATTTCGCCTTCTCCTTCCTCGAAGAAAAGATGGAGGAGAACAGACGACAACTTTTACCCAAGAATCCCTGCACGCAAACTCTCAAACTCATATAGCACATGCTTATTTGAGTATAATTTTAATCCAAACAATAGATTAGTTCTTGTTACATAGATTTTTACGTACGTTAATTATGACTACAAAATTAATATTCCAGAGTTATTTATGCAAATATTATGACACACATGGCAAACAGCTGACGTTATAACATTTTGGGGCTAAGATTATGAAGTTGAATGTCAAACGAAGATAAGAAAGAATCAATGTTTGTAACTGTGTGAGTTTGAGGTTTTGCAGATGTGGTTGTGAAGAGTTTTATCTTCGGGGTATAAAACCGTGTAGCCCGGTGAAAGTCAACCGACTTTTCGGAGGTGACACATTCCTCCAAAACTGCCGTTGACTTTTACTGGACTGTATGGTGGTGTATCCATAATATGGAACTCTGCAGTTTTTATAATTGTTTGGTTCGAGTTAGCCAAGTAATTCAGCCAACATAAATGTTCTTGAAAAGATCATTGATAAAGAAATTAATAAAGAAAGAAAGGAAAACGAGATGTGATTGTTGAAGTAGATGTGTGTGTCATTTATTGGCTGCAGCTCCCTTTAATCTGATAGTGAAAAATGTATTAGGTTACCCCGTTCATGCAGATGGATTAAATAAAAAAATATGCAGCGTGGAAAGCATGTACCTGTACACCTATCCCATCCAGTCCACATGTTTTTGTGACTCCAGAACTCCAGAAATTTATAATATGCAGCTCTGATGTTAAGCCTGACCATCATGTATATCACCATCTCAATTATAAAAGGCATATTATTTCCAAGTTATATCATCTCTTGAAATTCGTAGTATGGAGTGAGCCCTCAATGCTGCATTTATTTACAAAAAATAAGCACCTTAATTCGTTTGTTCAGTTACAGTTTATATGCAGTGAACTAGCTGTCCAGCATGCAAGGGCGTGTTTGCTAGTTTTGTAAATGTGCTGACTGCATGAGATATACTCTTCCACAAATCTTGTATAAAGTCAAAACAATAGTTTTCACTTACATGTTTGTGTGGGAGTCTTTCTAGACAACATAGCAGATTAAAGGGTGAAAGATTTTGGATATACTGTAACATTACCACAGATTCAGTTAGTGTATATTATAATGGCACCTGTCTGATGGATGGCAAGCAAGGGGTAGCACTGCTGTGGCTTCTGGAAAAAGTGCTGCATGGTAGGTGAACATGTGTCTCACGGCTTTGCTTTTGAAGTAACTTAGGATGCTTGGATATCAGATAGCTGGGAGTTTTACTGTAGCTTTATTGATGAAAACTATAGATAACTATTGTAAACAGTCAAGGAATGAGTGGAGAAATATTTCTGCTGATATCTAACAAAGAATTAAGAGAAGCAGTAAAAAGTTATGTTCACAGCACAGAAAAGGTTGAGTTGAGTATCTGAGGTAGAGATGTGGGTGTAGCTTGGGTTTTATCCAAGTAATTATTTCACATCGCCGGTCACGGTAACCAAGCGGTCTAGGGCATGTACTGTCTTCGCTCGCTCGGAAGCTGGGATTGTGGGTTAGAATCCACTCAGAGCATGTATAGTGTTTGTGTGTTTTTCTGTGTTTGTGTACAGGTAGAGGCCTTGCGACAAGCTGATCGCCCACCTAAGGAGTCCTACCGAATGTTTAAGATGTAGTAAACCGAAGTGAAACAGAGAGTTTCATGGAGGCCTAGGCCCAAATTGGGGCTGTAGCGCCACAGGAAAAAAAAATATTTCACATACCATTCTTGCAAAAATGAATTTCTGCTTTATTAACAGAAATCTCATATCCTCTTTTCAGTAATTTATTTTACATTTCATTGCTCACATACACTCGCTTAGTGGGGGGTGGAGTCCAACTGGGTCTGCTCGGCACGGTGGCCACTGATTGGCCTATTGTAGCTAGCCCCGGGTGATTATGATGATGGAGAATTTGGTGGAATGAAGATTGGCAGGGGAAACCAAAGTACTTGGAGAAAACCTGCCCCAGTGCCACTTTGTCCACCACAAATCCCACTTGACCAGACCCAGGATCGAACCCGGGCCGCCACTAACATACACTCAGTAGTCACTGTTCTCTCTACTCCCATGCAACTGCATATTCATTGTCACGAGATTACTCATAGTGCAACACTTGTCTTAATGGCACAAAAAGCTTTGAAGCACTGCTTTCATTTTACCAACCCCCTCTATTGAATTGAAATCTGGTTTTCCTGTGACATATTTTATTTGGCTTACTCTTCAACCCTGAAGGTGGAGCTGACATGTAGATTGACTTTGAAAGGACTACATGGCATTTTGTCCTGGAGAACACGACCCTTCAAAGGTACCACTGTGAGAACCTCAAATCTTGCACAGAACATGCAGTGCTCTGAACTGAATCAGTACTTCCAAGAATTGATGATTCTGTTTACCAAGAGAATAAGCCACACAAGTAACCAGCTTGGTTATCTGCTCGTCTTATTCTTAAAACCTGAAGATGGAGGTTACATGTTCCTCTGAAACATCAGTTGACTTTTAACAGGTAGAACCCTTCAATACATGTTCTGTTTCCTTCAGCTACTTTCTTCCCTTAAACCACAACATGGTAACAGCATAAACTCGTAATTGTGGTAGGAACAAAAACAGTCCTGTTAAAAATAGGATCCTGAAATGCCAAGTGCAGATTCTTTTAAAAAAAGAGGTTCTCCCATATTAAATGAAAGAAAACATAGTACCCAGTGTAGTATTGATTCACAGCCCAGTTTCATGCCTTATTATATTTCATACAAAATATTAGCAATTTCGTGCATGTGTAATTTAAGGTGCTGGTAGCTTGTAGTACAACTGGATGTATTAGTTCATACATTGGGTGACAATTGTGATGAGGAAGTTCAAGGAAAATAGGTGTTTAAAATATCGACTTGAGTTGCAAAAACACTGGTGTTGATATTTCTTTAAGGAAGGAAGTAAGAAAACTGACAATCTTAGTTAAATATTACTTAATATTATTCTTGAAGGGATCCCTTATTACAGGCATGTCCAACACGTTGATCGCTGGACTATTTTTGGTCGATCTCATAGGCCTATAAGGAAATTATACATGAAAAGCATGTAAATTCACTTGTAATATAATATGATTATATTCAGATTTTGAAGGGAAAATACGTGTTAAAGTAGTCTGTACTTTCTATGTATGTTGCGTTATTTTTACTAATATTTTTGCTTAAAGCGAGGTACGGCGATAGGAGGGGGCGGTAGATCACTGGCAGTTTTAACACTAAAAAGTCGATCACAACCTGTTTGAAGTTTGACATGCCTGCCTTATTAGATTATGGAAATTCACGCTAAATCTCTCCATACACACACATTACCATATGAATTCAACACACACATTTATTTTGTATCAATGAAATATTTTTTGAAAAATTCAACATACATTTTTAGATACAATATAATAAAGTCAGATTTAATTAAATTACTGAGAGACTTCTAGCTCTTTTGCTTCTGTTCCTTCTTGGCGGCTTCTGCTTCGGCTTCCGCTTTCTCATAAGCTGTTATGAGTTGTGCCACTTCCTTGGCAGGCAAGATACGTGTCTTTGTCTTTCCATTTTCACGTGTTAAAGTAGCCATTTCAACTACAATTAATGAAAAGGAGACAGCATTAACAACTAACTCACAAATATAAGGCATAAGATTTACAATTAAATATTCGTCATCAGTAAGAACACAAATCCATACATGGAATTACAATTAAATATACACCATCAGTAGGCTGCGCCATAGCTCAAGTGGTTAGTCACTGGCTTCCCACCGCGGCAGCCCGGCTTCGATCCCGAGTCTGGTCAAGTGGGATTTGTGGTGGACAAAATGGCGCTGGGGCGGGTTTTCTCCAAGTACTTTGGTTTCTCCTGCCAATCTTCATTCCACCAAATTCTCCATCATCATAATCACCCAGGGCAGGCTACAATAGGCCAATCGATGGCCGCCGTGCTGTGTGGATCCAGCTGGACTCCACCCCCCCACTAAGTGCATTACACCATCAGTACAAATAACATTGAATGTCACAATTTATTTGCTTTGACTGTTTAATATGACCCAAAATAACATGCATATCATTATTTTTACAAGAAAAAATTCTGTAGATCTAAAATGGGCCATTATGAAAAGTACATATATACTTTTTTGGGGGGCGGGGGAATGTTTTCATAATGGCCCATTTTAGATCCATAGAATTCTTGTAAATATATGATATAAATGTTATTTTGGGTCATATTTAACAGTCAAAGTAAATGATCCATGACATTCGATGTTTATATATATATATATACATATGATGAAGCTGCACAACTGTGCCTATGACTTTTACCTGGATGAGTAACACAGTTATTTTCTGTGAGACTGTGTTACTGTCAGATAATTACTGTAATCTGATTTAACCCTTTACATTATACACCGCACTTAGCAATGACAGTCTCAGAACTTGATTGTGGACGTGTGGAAATGAAGATTACCTTTCTCTGCAGTAAGTTTTGTCATGTCAAGAGTCTTACTGAGAACTTTGATGGCCAGAGCCATTGCACCCTTCAGCGTCGTTTCTCCCTCTTTGTACTCCTGCTTGAGGTTTGAGACTGCTGCCTATGGAGATAAAGAGGCATAAGAATTACTGCACAAAACTGATGTCACCTCACAGCAGAATTGTGTGTTACCTGTAGAGAGTTGTTTCAGATTCAATTCTCTTATTAAGAAGCTTCTCAAAACACTGATATGGTTCATGTGTTATTTAACGATCCTGTACTATAGCAAGTGTCACGTAACTTCAAACAAGGCCAAGAGTAACCTTGAATGCGCAGAAGAAAAATTTCAGACAAGGGGGTGGGTTCGAGGGTGTGAAAAGTGACAGGCAGCCAGTTGTGCAAACAACTTCTGCACATTCAAAGTTACTCTTGGCCTTGTTCGAAGTTATGTGACACTTGCTTTAACTGGAGGTCATGCAGTGTTCAATAAGATGTGAGAATGATCATGAATCCATTGTTTTTACATTTATTTATGCTAACAGTATCTCAGGCTGTATAATGTCAAATGGAAGGACAACTAGTGAATAAAAAAACAAACAGAATATGGAAGAAAACAGCTGTGGCCTGAGGTACTATGCCAAAATTACCTTGACAGACTGAGGAAAACACAAAAATCCTAACTCAGGACAGCCACTGTCCCAGCCAAATTCGAAATGGACACCAACTGAATACAACTCAGAAGTGTTATTGCTTCATCCAATTTGCTCATTCAGTCATGAATCCAAAATTGGATATGGTCTACTCTGATGCATTGCAGCGTTAACCCAAGAAGAGTTGAGGGAATCTTGAAGACCCTCAAATAAAATAACTGGTGAAAAATTCTTAAAGCCCTAAAGCAGAATTTTGATCTCGGATGTACTTTTTGTGAAACAAGGGAAAAATGATAAAAGCAGAAAAATCTGCTGGAGAAAATGTACAAATATAACTTCAACATGAACAATATTCATGTTTGGGAGATCCCACATTCAGAGAGCTGCATGGAGAGCCGCCATCCTCAGGTTTTCCATGGTTTACCCCAGTCAGCACACGAAAACGCCAAGTTAGTACCTCAAATCGGCCCTTCCACACCTTATTGACTATTCATTAATAATTCTAATATTTGATGATTTACAATCTGACTTACTGAGTGTTGTTAAAGAAACTATAAAAATGTAAAAAAGTAAAGCGATCCCAGTAACAGTCTGTGAAGGCCCATAGCGTTGTGAGACATCGAGTTCAAAAGCAGTGGTGACAGAGCATCTCTTTGTCATAGTCCATTCTGGACAGGAAAATTATCAGAAAAACGTTTACCTGTATCGACTTTACTATACGTTTCATTTAAACACATTTTCATCAATCTAACTAGTATAATGGGTACCCCAAACTCTACGAGAACACTGTACAATACTTCCTTCCTAACTGAATCATAGGCTTTCTTGAAGTCTATGAATAGCTGATGTACTGTCTCACTGTACTCCCAATTTTTTCTCCAGTATCTGACGAATGCAAAAGATGTGATCAGTAGTTGATCTGTTATGTCAAAAACCACAGTGATGAGCCCCAATAATTATTGAAAAAACCCAGTAATCTTATCGGGAATCGAACCGCGACCTTCTGGCTTGTATCTCAGTGCCTCAACCAATTATGCTACTGTGTGCCCTCCATTAAAGAAGCTACAAATAAATAAACAGACTACATTACAGTTCAACATACATCTGATGGGATAGAGAAAACAATTATGTTTAAGTCACAAACCATTTCAGTATCCTCATCTCTACTGGTTTTATTTGGATATGCTATTCTCTCATAAAACATATTATCAGTCTGTTTCCAGAAGAGAAAGTACTAACCGCACTGTTGTTCCCGATGCATGTGGCCTTCCATCCACCATAGTTCCCACTTGGATCTGACTGATACAACTGGTAGCCATAATGTTTGTCCCAGCCCATGTACAGGATTGACACACCAAATGGTCGCTTACCTGTGGAAACAATATAGAAGTTCATTAAAATTGTTACATCAAATCTCCCATTCAACACTGTCATGGGGAAAGAACTGTAAAAGGACTGTGATGTGACTCCATACAGTTTGGTTCCTACCTACCAAACTGCACAGAAGACAGTTATCTATATAGTCACCTCATGAGAACATTAATCTCATTTAGAAACATAATAAACTACACACTTTTTACGAAGGCTATGAATTTACACAAATCTGCAAATCATTATTCATTCGCCTGACAACATATGAATAAAACAACACTAATATACGTTTTGTGATTTTGTAGCAGTGACTGTGAGAACTGTGGTCTTATGGTGTTTGGGCAGATTCTGACATTTTAGAGCAACATTCTATCTCCATCTTCAGGGCTGAAGTGTGTGGCTGCAGGAATAAACTTGGGTATATAAGCAAATTAAAATGCAGGTGATTGTGAGTTCAAGAGAGAGGGGGGTCCTCTTCTTTTTTCTTTTGTTTGCCACTGTCCTTGGATCCAATGATCATCCTCCTTGTCACTTGCCTATATAACCAAGCCTGCACCTACACACTTCATCCGTGAAGACTGAGATTACATGTTGCTCCACAGCACTATGATCCGGCCACAAAAATGGTATCAAACATGATACTGATTATTTCCATCATGTCAAAAACCAATCAGACTTATTCATCTTGTCCTCTAATAGTGCGGTTATACAACATTTAGAAAGGGAGTTGAGGTACAGCTTCAGTCTTCCATGACTTTCAGCAATGGATGGAGGTGATAGGTAAACATCCTGATGTTTATCCTTGGAGAAACAGCACCAGATGCACATTCAATAGGATGCTGGGTGGGTCAAACAGTTCATCTGGACACAGTGGCAAAAAGAAAAATCCCAACTGCTATTAAAAATAAGCTCCAATTCTCTGATCATTCGCACCATAGCCTCACCACTATACTGAGTGAGCTGCATGGTTCACCACATTTAATGATGACAATGACAAAAATAATTGCTGAAATTTAACTGGCATTCAGGAAACATGTACGAAATGATCCATTCTTCTCCTTGAAATTCTCTAAACTGAGAAAACATTACTGTTGAATTCTGCCACATGTAATCACCATTTTAAGCACCAAGAGAAAAGTATTATGCACTCAGATAAAAAAAACCCCTTTGAAATTTTCCAGCACTATTGTAATGGTGTGGATGTGTGCTGAGGTATTATTGTTCCTTACCTCCATACTGTGTATAAGCTTGTTTCACATCACACAACCAAGACACAAGCTGTTCACAAGGAATTGATTCTCCGTACTGTAGCAGGTAACGCTGGGCTATCATCCTCAACTCATTGGTCAGAACATTCGCGTCCGATGTGATACCAGCAACGCTGCATACCATATCACTACATAAAAAGAATACAAAAATATAATTTAATTCACATGGGCAGTCCAGGTGATGAATCTTCTTGTCATGTTCATAAACAAGTGGAGTGCTATGTTCTCTCATATTACAGTTACATGGTTATCAAGTGGCCTCCGTAGTCCAGGGGTAACGTTCCCACCTTGTGACTCAAGGTATGCGGGTTCAAACCCGGCGGAGGTCATGGAATTTTTAAGGGCGGAAAAATTCAGGGAACAAGTCGTCCAGGAGGGACTTTAAGCCGTGGGTCCCGTGTCATAGCTTTACGGCACGTAAAAGAACCTCATGTCTCAAGGTGACCTCTGAGCCAAATTCAGGACATTTCCCGCCCAACAGTAGTCTCTAACGCCTCTGGTAGATGGGGGAAGCATCGAGATATCGCTGAGCCAGTAGAGGCCGAACTCGCTGGCTGAGTTGGGATGGATGGCACACACCAGGGTATAGAGACTGGTAGAATATCACAGGGGGACGCACAATGGACCAATATCTGGTCTAAGTGCATGGGGAAACCCACCCTCTCCAATAACAACAACAATAACAACTTGGTTATCATCAGGTAGATTATTTACATAGTTCCTGCACAGGATTGCTTTTAGTTCAGTGTTCTAAACCACTAAATATCATTAGTACTCCAAATACAATAATGAAAAAGGATAAAGGAAGATACTGTGAGTTCTACACTACACAAACTATGATGACGAGAAACAGGACAAAGCCAAACAATGACCTTAGACATCTGGTAATGTGTCCTGCTGTGCATGGCTTCCACCATAAGTAGTACCAGACAAACGGTACCATCTGCCAAATAATAACTGATTTTGAATATGGGAGGTACCACACAACAGACTGCAAACAAAGGACTAAATCACTGATCATATATACCTTAAACATAAGCATTAAGACCTACACTTACATAGATACTTATATGGATGTTCATATAAACACACAGTCTCAACCACTTTGTTTGAGAGATATGGCAACTACAGGGCGGCAGCACCACAGAACGGATAAGAACAGATACTGCAATCATTCATTCTACGGATCCGTACAAGGTCACTTCAGCTGATGTTCTGGTGTTTCCTACGGTAGAAATGTTACATACTGAAGAATGGAGCACAAGGTGTGCCTGCTGTGATCACCTGATCTCATTCATGCCAACCTCTACTTATAAGATAACTTCAAGAGCACTGCCTGTGCCCCATCATGTAACATGCGGGATGAGATGGGGAATGCCACTGAACCAGCTGGGATGACAATATTCAGGCCTGACATCATTCAGCAGACCACGAATTCTTGGCAAAACAGGGCTCACTTATGTGTTGAATATAACAGTGAACCATTTCAACATCTTCAGTAAAATATCAGTAACTGGATGGTTGCCATTCCATTCAGAGCTAATACACTCTATTTACGACTATGTTGTTTGCCTACTTTTCTTTCCCCGTGTTTCCTGTTGCCATACTTGCTAACAAAGCAGTTAAACCATTTATTTGTATGACTGTTTTTTGCTTGTCTGTAAGTGTAGAAATCTGTCTATATTTTTATGCCTTTTTTGGAGTATTTATTATTATTATTATTATTATTATTATTANATAATAACAGGATCACTATATTTAAGTCATATAATTAAGACCTGCCCTGTATGTAAGTTAGTGTCAGTCAGTGGTAAAATATTAATTTGGAAGCATAACACTAATATATCAGTCACTTTAAAATATTCCCCTTCTAGCAGCAAACTGTGTATTCTAATTTCTTAATGTTTACACTGCTCTATTTTTATTTGGAATCACAATCTATTGTGTGCACTAACACAGCTCAACACCAACAAACATGCATGCAAAATTAATGTAGCCTAGATGACTTAAACATTTATTTTTAATTTTATCAGAAGCTGCTATTGAATTACATGCAAAAGGAAACAAATTTTGAAATTCACATACAGAAGATCTGAAAGACACCAACCCAGTTTGTGGTGAATTACATTCAGTATTGAAGGGCATATGCTGATTACTGATGATAAATTGTCAAAATGGAAATTTTACCAAAATGCAAACATCAAATATTATAATTCTGTATTTCAGCATCCTGTTGCAAAACTTTAATTAAAACATCTATGTATCCACAATCCATCAATAATGCAACATTTGTTTATTCACCATTTAACACTTAACACAACATATTTCAACCATAGATGGCTATCTTCAGGTGTCTTAATGTATTGAAACTGTTACACTGTGCTGCCAGAGGGAACAACGCACAAGCAAGGGCCATATTACAGATAGCAGACGTAGCAAAACAACAGGCTAACAAACAGAAGAACAAGCTGCAGAAACAAACCTTCTCGAATAATCACATAGCTCTAAACAAGTCGACAACGCCCCTTATGAGGTGGAATAGAATTTTACAAAAATAATGGGGAATGGATTGTAATTAATTATCTTTATGTGATTTTTAAGTTGACTGCAGTGCGTGGTTTTAGTGCACATTAGAGCAGTATAACAGTTTCAATACATTAAGACACCTGAAGATGGCCATCTAAGGGCGAAACATGCTGTGTTAAAAGTGTTAAATGGTGAATAAACAACTGTTGCATTATTGATGGACTGTGGATACATAGATGTTTTATTCAAATATTATAAAAACTAGCAACACACTCAATAAGGTGTTATTTAATAAAACTGAAAAATAAATTTATGTGAAATGTGAGGTTCTCACAGCAGTAACTATGAAGATTATTATCTTCTGGGATACAGTGTTAGGTAGTCCAGTGTAATTTGCTGACATTTCAGAGGAACATATCACTACACTTCAATGGTAGAAGAGTATGCCAAGCAAGAAACCTGTGGGAAACTTGTCACCTGTTTCTTGCTGGCTACTGGCTTTCCTTCATAACAATGAATATGGTGGCGGTATAATCCTCTGAAATATCAGTGAATTTCTATTGGACTACACTGCATTAATCCCAGAAGACAGTACTCCTCAAATATACATGACTTTGTTTCTTTTTACTCTCAATCACAATCACTAAGTATGTGTGGCATAAAGCATTAATTCCTATTCAGCAATTCCCGAAAGGATCCTTACAAATAACAGTTTGCAATTTCACTTTTGGTTATCTGTTCTGGGTTTCGACTCTCTTCCAACAATCATTATACTACCCCAAAATATTAAGGTATGATAAGTAGAAAAATGCATTACTCATTAAGTTTATATATTTTTTCTGAGAAGAAAACCTCATCCAGCAATTTGTTTGTGTTTCTTCTTTCAGCTGCTAAAAGAATTCCATCATTGGCCAAAATCCCAAGGCAGGTACCAGCATGACTAATTGCTTCCATAGCATATTCTACCTGGTACAAACGTCCTACAAAACAAGAAAAGGAACACCCTGATATAGACTCTAAATAGCGATTTGTTAATCCCACACAACTTATACGGAACACATACAATGCTCACCTTCGGGGGAAAAGATTGTAGTCCGTGTATCATATCGCCTTGCCTATAAAACAGAAAGACTGTATGCATGACACACATTAAATACACATCCGATGCTTTTATTACAATCAAGCATTTAGGTTAATTCCATAATAAAATGATACACCTAACCTTATTTTGTAATATTATACAATTCACGCCTAAAACTACACACTATGTACTTTAAAACATACTGAAACTTACCATTATTCAAATTCGTGCTTACACAACACAGCAAATTATCACACCAAAAATTCGGAACGATGACAAACACACTTTTTCGACACAAACAACTGACTACCGCAATCGACTGGATCGACTGCACATATCATACGTACTAGGACGTCACATCCGGTCACATCCACCTTCCCTGCCGTTCTCTGCCATCTATGAACATTACTTGCACTATTACTTACTCATGGAGCTGTCAATTCTGCAGCTACTCAAGAACTTCCCAGCACTTTATGGAACCCAAAGGTTCATTACCGTGTTCACAAGAGCCCTCCACCGGTCCATATCCTGAGCCAGATACATCCAATCACTACCATCCCATTCACTCTCTTTAAGATCCATTTTAATATTGTCCACCACCTATGCCTTGGTCTTCCCAGTGGTCTCATTCCTGCTGGCTTTCCCACCAATATCCTACACGCATTCCTCGTCTCCCCCATTCATGCTACATGCCCTGCCCACCTCATCCTCCTTGACTTGATCATTCTAATGATACTTGGGGAAGAGTACAAGTTATAAAGCTCCTCATTATGCAGTTTTCTGCAACCTCCTGTCACTTCATCTCTCTTCGGTCCAAATGTTCTCCTTAACACCCTCAGTCTATGTTCCACCCTTAATGTCAGAGACCAAGTTTCACACCCATACAGAACCACACGCAAAATTACAGTTTTGTATAGTCTTCTAATCTTTATGTTTTTGGACAGTAGACAAGAAGACAAAAGATTCTGGACTGAATGATAGCAAGCATTACCCTAGTTCAATCTCCTCTTAATTTCCTCCTGAATCAGGTTTCAATCTGTTATCACTGTTCCCAAATATGTGAATTGTGCCACATTTTCCTATGAAGAAAGTCCTCTTCTGGGATCTGGCGCTGTGTATTCTTTGTTTCAGCCGACATTTCGGAGGAACATAGCAGTAGCTGTAATTACAGCTACTGCGCTCTGTATTTGCAACGCCATTCACCTACCCTGAAGATGGAAGCGATACGTTCCTCCGAAACGTCGGCTGAAACAAAGAATACACGGCGCCAGATCCCAGAAGACGACTTTCTTCATAGTCATCGCCATGAAAACCTCAAAACTTACATCTGTTTCCTATCTTTATATCATGATTTTGCCCTGCATTTTGGTGACGAGACAGTAACATATACTTAGTTTTCTACTTCTCTGTGTTTACTTCTAGACCAACCTCTTTACTTGCGTCAATTAAAGTTTGTGTGTTTTTCTTTATGGTATCTACATTATCACTTCTGACTAATAATGCCCCCATGATATACAATAAACGTCGGCGGCAAAATAGGTAAAATGAGGCTATATTGTAAACACCCTTGAATCCATTTGGCTTACATAAAATTTTACACATGACACAATAAAGGAGTCAATATAGCGACTGGTTACGGGCATTGTCTAGGCCATTTTTGTATATACATGAATTAAAAAAAAAAGACTTACATAGCAACTCCACCTTTTTAAAACAGTGTTGCATTGTCGGGAAAATAATATATGTCACCACTCTGATCCACCGATCATTCTAATCTGGGGAGGCAACTGGTATAGTCGGAACGGAAGCAATTTAATATATGTTGTATTCGAAATCGGAGAAATTAAGAAAATGTATGAATAAATATATCCTACGTCAGTCTTCTGGTAAAATACTGTACCTCACTCCCTCACATTTCAAAAACATGTTTTTTGTCATCACAAATTTTTAGGGTAGGCATATCGAGATTACAAAGAGAAGGGGTGGAGTTTGCACGGGGAAGACGAAATGTATACAGGAACTGGAATTTTACGGCTCAACTGATTACAAAGTAACCACTTGGAAGAGCAAGGATGACATTCAAATGAAATTAAGGGGACAAGAAATGGGTACAAAATTTGGTGATGGAACCCTATTGGAAAGTGTCCACTCGCATGATGAGAAGGTAGCAATATACCACTAAAACAAATTTTTGTGCAGTAGTTTGTAATGAACGATTACGCCCAATGGTAGGCTTCGGAATGAATGCATTCCATTAGCACTATTTTGTCACTTTACCCTGAAGTTGGAGACTACCCATTTCAATGCATATCATTTCCCTGGACCACAGTCATAACAAATTGAAATACGAGTCTCAGCAAACCATTTAAAAATCGTAACTAATTCACTCTTGCATTAAACAATACTTTTTCAGCTGTGTATGTTATAGGGTATCAAATTTTAAGGTAACTTCTAATGGTGAATTTTGGCAGCATGTAAAAATACATACCTCTTCTAATATAATGTCACATGTCTAGGGGCATGACTACAGATGGGGTATAAACTGGTGAATAAATTTATTGACCCCTTATACACACGACTCGCAACTACATGCAATTACAGTGCCACTGCTAATCTCCATAATTCACATATCACCACAGCACCCGCTAAGCCTTCTTCCAGCCTGCCATGTCTTCAATAGCCATTCCCTAGCAACAGCTTCTAATGGTGCAGATCCTTCAGCTTCCAGTGCTATAGTCCTCTCTTCACAGACTCCAATATAGAATTTACTTGGTTGCCCCATTTGTAACCCCTAGCCATGGCACACGTAGACAACACACCATCGATTCTCATATGCTAACCATTTCCGTGAGAATGTTCTTCCGTCACCCAGCAATAGGTTGCGTTATCCCATTTTTTAAGAATCTGCTGTCCCAGCAATGGGTATACATGCTACATTACTATCTCAACATCTGCTCAGAGGGAAAGATGAATACCATAATAAATATCAAAAGGAATAGTCAGTCACTGGGCTGCAATTTGAATCAGAGACCTCCATAATAGGGAACAGGACAGTTAAATGTTTCACTACTACTTTCAATATAAAAGCCTAAAGACTTCAAAGAATTTTAAAGGTTTATTATGACACTGGCACTGGGTTACAACTGCAGACTGTTTACAAGTATAGTGTAATGTAAACTAAAAGTACAGTACACGAGTAAAAATGTGAGCTGCCGGCACTACAGCAACAATAAATGATGCTTTTTCAAAAATCTTATTGGAAAAATCTGTTAGAATGAAGCATAATATCTTCACTGTATAATACTGAAAAACTGGAAGCAATATCCTTGGACTACAAGGAGATCACATGTTCACTTATTTTTTGTTACTCTCTATCAAACATTGCTACAATCCTTCGGTATACTTCAGTCTCAAAAACTCCAGTCTACCAAGTAAACATCAACTTTGGTGTTATTATTTCCCCCCAATTCTGACTGTTCACTGAAATATAATAATATAAAATACATGTATGTTGTATATGATAAATACATTTAAAAAAGTTACTGAAATAGTTTTCAGCATTTCTCATATTTGTACATTGAAGAATATTTCGGTTGTTAAGATTGCCAAAGTGAAAGAAGAGAACTGTGAAGTATGAAAAATTAAGAACACAATACCGCTGAACAGCACAACTACACAACAAATGCCTTTTCCAACAGGATACCATGTACATTGCATCATTACATTTCACTTGTGCTACACATTGCAATTTGCATGCAAAAAAAAATTCCCATATAAAACTAATACATAATTTTCTTGTTTCTCAAACATGTAAAGCTACATCTGACTTTTTTCCTCTTACCTAAATACATACAGCACAAAGAAATATTCTTTGCTTACTACAATGGACCATTCCTTGAACACTGACTAATGTTCCTGTAAGGCATACAATATATTTTATTGTAAACTGGAAGCAAATGTCCTCTGATTGAAAGAGTAATGAAAAGATGTATTCTGAGTTCAATGAAAACAGTGTACATTGATTTCTTAGTGTGTGCACTGGGCCCAACCCTCAGCATGTACATGGAGGTGCACAGACAGAAAGGATTTCATTTCAGAATACTACCCACTCAGACCATAGTAATTAGGAATAAGTAAATCTATATACAAAACATGAAAGTGACACAAAAATATTAGAATTATTCCTTTGTTTGTCCCATCTTATCATGCATTTCTGTGCCATACACGAACATTAAAACAACACCATTTAAAGCAGCTCAAGAACTGGGCAGTTGTTCAATGTGAATCAAAAGACCAGAGCTATTAGAATGTGGTGGAAACTAAGTATGAACTGACTCAATACAATTATGTATCTACTGTCTGATAAGATTACAGACATCACAAATTTAAATTTATGTTCATGTAAAAGAAGGATGAGAAATTCTGCCATTAAAAGGCTGGGACTAATTCAAAATAGTTAAGTGAAAGGATGCTCAGTGCCACTTTACACAGGTCTTAAAACTTTCCCAAGTTACCAGCAAGATATCCTGCTATCTTGTTCTGAACACTTGTTTGAAAACACTATCCTGCCATCTGCTGAAAGGTAAAGTTATTCAGAAATATAAATTATAAACTAGCATCACAACACACAAAGACAAGCAGGCATTTGTTTTCAAAATTAAACTTGGCACAGAAAGAGATAACTGTATGGAGTCAGTGTTACCAAAATGTACCATTTCTCAGGTAGCTTCAGAAATACTTCTTGTCTACTACTGACTTTGTTTAAACAAACGTTTATAAACATGAGTGTCAAACACTGCCGCATAAACAGGATGACCATACATCCTGGTCTTTGCATTTTGTCCCGGACTCCCAGCCAGTTGAGTGGAAGAACTGAAAAAATGTTCTGGATATAAACTTAATATCATCCTTTTATTCTTATAACAAAACTTGGTCCCCAAGAGAGATATTTGTTCTGATACAGCCTGTTATCAACACAGTGTTTCATTGGCGAGAACAGTAACAAATGAACCATTTGCCGAGTTATTTTATGACACTGTCAGTATATACACTATATAGCATCAAAAGGTAGGATCACTGATGAATTGGAAAGGATCTGGAAGGAAGTGGCAGTCATGGCCTCATTAAGGTACTATCCCAATATTCTCCTGAAGGTACTGAGTAAAGCCACAAAAAAAGAAACTTGTCAGGATAGTCAGTCCCTTAGCCATGATTTGAACCAATCACCGCCTGGATACATGTCTAGTCTGTTACTGCCACATCAGGCTGTGTGGGGTCAGATTTCAGCATGTAAATTTTCTCTCCTCCCCTCCATTTCATCCCTCCCTCTCTTCAAAGTGTGACCCAGATTTTCTTTTCAAAAATATGGTCACCCCCTGTATAAAAGTTCAGAAAACAATATTTGTTTGTTGTTGTGAAGGAATAGCAGTCTGTTATTTTGTATATTTCAACTTATTGCATACAGTTCAATGTGATAGTGTAAGCAAATTCACGAGGCTGACCACAGTGCACATAGAAAATAAACGAAATAAATAATTAATTTTTTTCATGATTTACAAATAACATTAATTTGTAAGATCTTTTAAATCAGTTGAAATAGATTATTATATAATAAAATAATCATGGCTAAAATGCTTAGGACTTGTAGAACAATTGACATTGTACAAAGACTTTAAAATCCAGCACAACACACATACTCACACTTTATACTTATATTTGGCGAGTCAGAACCTCTGCCAACAACTAACACACTTCATTATGGTGTGTTAATATATTTCTCTGCATTCAACCACAATATTCATAGAAAAATTCTGAAAAGTAACCAACATTTGAAAAGAACATCCGCTCCAGCAAGTAAGAAACAAATAAAAACATATAATGATAATGACCAATAATACAGTAGGCCTATTAATATAAAAGTCACCTGTATCACATCAAACAAAACATTTTCAGTACATTTTATACCACATTCTTCAAGGAAAGGAACACTGCAAGATATATATGGAGTATAGCACAGCTTATACAAAATTACAGTTTTATCACTAAACTCCAAAAGCACACTCATGTTTTCATTCATAATATATAACTTTTCTATAAAGACACTTCCAACACGTTCTAAATAAAAATCAGTCTTATAAAATAATTGAAATGTTATGACAGGTGGATCACTGAGGTCATTCAATTCATTTGCTCCTGTGTTTTCTCCTTTTGTGTGAGTTCAGGTGACGGTTGAGTGTGGTGGGGGTGGGGGACTGGTAGGACTGGTTTGCGCAATATCTGTGGCTTCACCTTCACCTGAGGCTTGAAGGACGACACGGCAGCCACCTGACCAAACTTCGCTCCTCCAATCTTTGGTGTCATTCTCTGAGGTCCAGGGCTCCTAATTGGCACCAATTCTGAATCAGCGGATTGGTTCTTGGCGTCAGTGGATGGTTTCAGATTCTCGTTGTCACTTGTCTTAATAACATCAGCAGGAATCTGCATATCGTTGTTGGACATTTCCGTGGCAGCAACAGCTGATGAGGCAGCAAATTTTGATCGCTTAGTAGCAGCCTTTGTAGTCTGTGTCTGGGCATCAATAGAGGCCCCATGAGAAGCTTTGGTGTTCTTCTTGAGCGTGCACTGATTCTGCTTGGCAAAGCGTTCTGCTGCTGTCGTCATATCCGGACTTTCCGGTCCTGTTGGACTTATAACAGGCTCTGCAGATACACTCTCCTCCTCTCCAGATGATGAAGATGACAGCGAGGATAAGGACACTGCAGACAGAGACTTCTTACCTCCCACAGCTTCCTTTGGACTAGACGAACCAAGAAGTGGGAGATCCATCACTAGGTCAGGTGTATGTTTCTGACGCATCTCCCAGAATTCTTGGTTGGATCGAAAACTCTTGACAATTGATTTTGAAGATTCTAGTTGTGTCTGGGATGCAGCTCTTCGCTGCCAGATTTCTCTGTTTTGACTGAAGTTGACATTTTCTGAATTCTTTTCATCTCCTCCACCTGAATGCCGTATATCTACAACCTCACCCAAACTCTGGCTCTTCCAATGAGTCTTCTTGCCATTTGATCCACTGACTTTCCCTTTTGATGCATTTCCTCCATCAACATCGCCAGAGGAACTGATAGGTGTTGTGGGCCGGGACATATCATCACCTGACTCCTTGGTACCATCTGCAGGCAGAGAGTCGAGAAACACAGACAGCCTGTCTTCGTCTTCTGATTCTTTCTCCTCTGTCTCTGCCTGAAGTGCAGCTGTGGCCAGTATCTGGGCAGTTGTAAGGGCAGCTTCCACAGCACCCATCACACTACCTCCAGGGATGGTCCTTGAGGCAGGGAGGGATGAAGAAACATCTTCATCAGTCTTCACATGTAGGCCAGATGGCATAGATTCTGTGCTGGAGCTACTTTTAGTGATGCGTCTAAGAGCCAAGAGAGGGGAAGGGGAAGTGTCACCCTGCAACAAATATGCATTTACTGTATATTCAAAATCCTGATAAAGAAATGGTCATTAAGCAAGGTATAATACACCACTGGCTATGGTTAGGACAGACACAGAACAACAGACATCAGCACCAATATCACATTCAGTTAACATGACTTCAGTACAACACACTTGTGTATATCCCATGTACTTGAGTTATTGTGTTGTGTTCACCCTTTGAATTCCAGATATTATGTGATACTTCATCTGGTCCAACTGTTTCAATTTTAAAACTATCAGATAGACTGAAACTTGATTTTCCAAATTTCAGATGAGGTTCCAAACCCCATCAGTTCAATTTTCTTGAATGAGACACGATTTCAATTTATATTTGGTGGGCTTGACCTGACCGTAGAGTAGAATGCAATTCTTCTGACAGGGGACATGTAAGGGTTATGAGAAATTTTGTGTTAAGGTAGTTCTCTAAATGAATGTATCATTTGTTACATAAAACTGAGGTTAACCCAATTCACACTCCAAATCAGATAAATCACTTCTAAATTGAGTTCTTTTGTCATGAATAATTTTTGTATGTGATGATCCATCATCTGCACTGTCAATCAACATTCAAACCATCCAGCTGCCCTTTTCAAAAAAGGAAAATTATGATTTGAGGTTCTCACAGCAGTGAACATCAACATGATGGTCTTCTGAGATATTATGCTTTGTAACCTGGTAGATAGGTACAAACATTCTGGACAAACATGCTGCCTTCATTTTCAGGGTAGGAGATGGATGCAGCAGGTATCTCCAAAATGTTGGTAATTCTCTATCAAACTACATGGCTTCATATTCAAGGAGCCCAAAACCTCAAATGAAAGCCATAAATTGCGAGTGGAAGAAACATATGAAATTATCACTTTAATAGCATATTCAGCATAGGAAGCTTATAAGGTCCAAAGATACCAACATTAAACAGATACCATTTAACTTTAAAAGTGCCAGATTGTGTTCCTACAGTTCAGGTAAAAATAATTAAGTTCCTAAAGCTGCAATTATTTCATGGATAAATAATATATATAAAAATTCCTGAAGCACTTAAAATGTAAAGAACAAGATTCCCTCCAAATGCTTTTTGGTATGTACATTACAGTGAATGGCAACAGATATCATATGCTGTCAGATACAGCAAGTTTTTTACCATTAGCACTTGCAAAGTTAACCATCAACAGTTCTGTTCCATTATTAGAGCAATGCCAACATCCACAATTATAATTTTCAAATTCAGGTATAAGAAAGATTGTGAAGATGTTGTCTTACATGAATATACCAGCCTCTCCATTTTTAGAATTATAAACTTCTACTATCTGAGAATTAAATGAATGAACTACCTGCATCCCCCATGATTAAGCCCTGACAAATTTTAACAGTAATAGAAATTCTGGCTATAATGTTATTAACTTTATGTAACTGGATTGAAAATGCGTGGCAGTGCTGCTGAAATGTTTTGATGAAAATATATGCATTATTTCTGGGGCACAGATGTGTGTGTGTGTAGGTGTCTTCTACTTGATTCCAGTCCACTGTTTCAAGGAAGCTATTTCTCCTTATGTCTTTAGACATCATAACCATCATTCAACAAAAATACACGTTGGAATAAATTCACAAGACTAAATGTAATCATTTTCTTTTGATGTGTTTGTCATTCCCCTGGGGTTTTGTATTGATCTGGAGTGGATACCTAGTACTGAAAAACCATTTCCACCCTTGATTATTGCATATGAAAAGCAATGATTAGCATTAGACATGTCTACACACTTTAAGCAAACAAAAAATTAATAACAGAAAACATTCCATATATACATATATATACACACACACGCACACACATTATTGTGTGAAATTCCATACTGACTGCTACATGTTCACACTTAGAACTACAATTCACCAGTGTTAATTGCCTACTATCTACAAGCCACAAATGCAATATTCATTTATGTACAAATGAAAGACAAGCAATAGAACCTATCTGCTGTTATGAAAAAATTTCTATCATACAAAAAAAAAAGTGGTGCATATTATGGACAGAATTGTTAAGGCAAATAAACAGAATGCCACAATGCTGTGTCTTGTTTCAACACACTTTATCATAAAAATCAAATCTGATGCCTTGAAGATAAACTGAAATTTAAAGCTAAAATATTGAAAATATTTGTATGTGCTCTGATGTTCAAATTGTGAAAACTCAGGACATAATAGCTAACACAAAACTGAATTACCCACTTTTGTACCACAACAGCAGAATGGTTAAAACATTTATAACAGTACACATATTTAGTTTGAAAGAAGATTTTCAAAACCCTGATAGTACTACAGTTGCATTAAATCACACTAATGTTAACACCTTCTGCAGCCCAAAATTCATTTAAATAATGCTTAAAAATTCAATGTCCATCTCATAGAAAACATACTGCATCTCCATTGCAAAGACAAATTGGTTAGTGTTGTTTACCAAGAAACTTCTGTTTATTTCAAGAATTATATGGAAGTCATAAATACACTGTGTGAGCAATATGCCAAACTTTCTTTTTGGTGTTTACATACTAATTGTGCTTTACAGGGCCAATATCATAAATAATGATTATACATGAGATTTGAGTTTAAATTTGGATTGTGATGTTCTAGGTTATGACTGCTGCATAGTCTGATACCTGGCAAAGTTCTAGAGGCAGCAGGTTCCTCTGAATCATTGGTAACCATTTACTAGAGTCCATGGTGTCATATTCCAGAAGACCATAATTTGAATATTTATATCATATAACATGCAAAAATTATAAGGCCATATTTACAAGTAAGTCCATGGCTGCATGGTTATACAGATATTTTACAGGTCTGTATCAAATTCCAAGGTTATGTAGTGTTGATATGGCAGTGTGATTATGAGCTGGAAGGGATGTAAGAAGGGGAGGTCATGGCCCATTTTAAGGTACTGTCATTTGCATGGAAAGAATGAGGAAAATCATAAGCAACCTCAGCTGGTACATATACCAGATGAGGCTTTTCCAACCTGCTCAGTGTGGTGACTTATTAAAAGAGCTATTATCCATAAAGATATCTCACAGAATTAATATTCCAGTAGAACCAACACTGCAGCAGAGCAGTTAGTAGTATGGCTTCATGTTAAGGATATTCTGGGTCCAATACTGAACCTGAAGGCTAGCCATAATGGCGAGTTTTTTGTCATTTTTCTCCATCCTTTCAATACCAGGATATTACCACAGAATTGGCAGTGATCACCTCCACCCATATTCTTCCAAATTCAATGTTCACAGACATCCTCCCATCTGACATTATATAACTTTTATAGTTGAAAAGGTGTCGTTAAATTAAGAAATAAGAATATTTCAATAAATCAAAAAGAAAGTAAAATATAAAATAGAATATTTTATTAAACTTTTTATTAATATGTCTCCTGGGGTATTCTTGCATTTAAAAGGCTAACATTCTTCTGTGACTACATATGTAAGCAAAACATATGTAAGCAGTGTCAATTTTTCCAAGAAAAGATGTCCTCTATACTGAAATACTGTTCAGTACACGATGTTATTCTATTAAGTTCAGTGTTTTAGTGAGAACATAAGTCTTTCCAGAACTTTTGCTATTGAAGTATGAACAGCTAGTGTACATATGTATGGATAATTGGAATGACATACAATTCACCTAAAAGGAGTGAAGGTATCTGCAGGAGAGTTATCCTGGCCAAGATTCAGAGACAGAGTAATCCACTAAAGTAAATATAACATTTTGAAGTATGCCAAAACAACAAATTTAAAATTAACGCCGGAAAGTCACGGGTTCAAGTCCCGATGAGGTCATTGGATTTTTTCAGTTGACTTAATCCTTCCAGCCGCACTAGGCCCTGGGGTTTACTCAGCCTCTAACAGAAATGAGTACCAGGAATTAATTAAATAATTTTCCTGGGGAGTAAAGCGCGGCTGGCGCGAAAGGCTGACAACCTTACCGCCATCTTTGAGCCGATTGTCTAGATAGTATGGGACCCTCAACGTCTCACAACCCTATGGGCCTTCACGGCCTGGTACAGGAATAGCTTTACTTTACTTTTTATGGCACCTGGAACATTATACTTACTCAACAGACGGCATCACCAGAGTATTCTGAACAAAATTCATGCATACATAACCCATCTGACCAGGGAGTGCCAGTTTCAATAAGGAAGGGCATTTATGAATGTTGTCATTGTTACACAGACTGCGGAAAGATGATATGAGGCTGAATGTACAGTCTATCCAGTCTGGAAGAATTTTGAAAGTCTGCCACCAGCATTCTTTGATCAGATGGGATATACCTGTACCTACATTAATGCAAACTAACTATTCTACAATACAGGAGCACACAAATAAGATCAATAACCATGCTAATACAAAGCAACTTGAGGTTCGAGGTTCTTGTGGCAGTGAGTATTAATATTAAGGTCTTCTGGGATGAGATACTATGTAGTTTGGTATATAGTTACAATTTTTTGGAGGAACATGCTGCTTCCATCTTCAGGGTAGAAGAGTACCCCATTCCAGATGACCATAATCTTAACAATACACAATGCATTAGGCAACACAGATATACATTTCTCTGCAGCTAACACATGACACTGTGCATGCTACAACATATAGGATGTTAGTTCAGAGATGTTTTCGTCAATATACGAATTACAACTGAATCAAGGATCTTCATAATACAAATTAAATATATGTGATGAAATAGCAGGACATGTAGCATGCATGAGAGGGAAGTGTATACAGAGTTTTGGTAGGAATTAGACAAACAGGAAGACATAGGTGAAGACAGGGATGGTTCATAAGTTCATAAAGAAATTTGATGGGCTATATGGACTGGATTCATCTGGCTCAGGATAGAAACCAGTGGTGGGCCCTTGTGGACATGGTGATGAACCTTTTGAGTTCCATAAAATGTCGCAAATTTCTTGAGCGGCCGAGGAACTGTTGGCTTGTGAAGGA